TCAAAAAATACAGAACTAAGAACAGATATAGCCCCTGGTTCTCCTCAGACTTGACTGCCCTTGACCAGCACAAAAACATCCTGTGGCGTACTGCATTAGCATCGAATAGCCCCCGCGATATGCAACTTTTCAGGGAAGTTAGGAACCAATATACACAAGCAGTTAGGAAAGCAAAGGCTAGCTTTTTCAAACAGAAATTTGCATCCTGTAGCACTAACTCCAAAAAGTTTTGGGACACTGTAAAGTCCATGGAGAATAAGAGCACCTCCTCCCAGCTGCCCACTGCACTGAGGCTAGGAAACACTATCACCACCGATAAATCTACAATAATCGAGAATTTCAACAAGCATTTTGCTACGGCTGGCCATGCTTTCCACCTGGCTACCACTATCCCGGCCACCAGCTCTGCACCCTCCGCTGCAACTTGCCCATGCCCCCCCCCCCCCCCCCCCCCCCCCCCCCCCCCCCCCCCCCCCCCCCCCCCCCCCCCGCTTCTCCTTCACCCAAATTCAGATAGCTGATGTTCTGAAAGAGCTGCACAATCTGGACCCCTACAAATCATCTGGCCTAGACAATCTGGACCCTTTCTTTCTAAAACTAGCCGCCGAAATTGTCGCAACCCTTATTACTAGCCTGTTCAACCTCTCTTTCGTAATGTCTGAGATCCCCAGAGATTGGAAAGCTGCCGCGGTCATCCCCCTCTTCAAAGGGGGTGACACTCTAGATCCAAACTGTTACAGACCTATATCCATCCTGCCCTGCCTTTCAAAAGTTTTTGAAAGCCAAGTTAACAAACAGATCACCGACCATTTCGAATCCCACCGTACCTTCTCCGCTATGCAATCCGGTTTCCGAGCTGGTCATGGGTGCACCTCAGCCACGCTCAAGGTCCTAAACGATATTATAACCACAATCAATAATAGACAGTACTGTGCAGCCGTCTTCATTGACCTGGCCAAGGCTTTCGACTCTGTCAACCACTGCATTCTTATTGGCAGACTAAATAGCCTTGGTTTCTCAAATGACTGCCTCGCCTGGTTCACCAACTACTTCTCAGATAGAGTTCAATGTGTCAAATCGGAGGGCCTGTTGTCTGGACCTATGGCAGTCTCTATGGGGGTGCCACAGGGTTCAATTCTTGGGCCGACTCTTTTCTCCGTGTATATCAATGATGTCGCTCTTGCTGCTGGTGACTCTCAGATCCACCTCTACGCAGATGACACCATTTTGTATACATCTGGCCCTTCATTGGACACTGTGTTAACAAACCTCCAAAGGAGCTTCAATGCCATACAACACTCCTTCAGTAGCCTCCAACTGCTCTTAAACACTAGTAAAACTAAATGCATGCTCTTCAATCGAACGCTGCTGGCACCTGCCCACCCGACTAGAATCACTACTCTCGACGGGTCTGACCTAGAGTATGTGGACAACTACAAATACCTAGGTGTCTGGTTAGACTGTAAACTCTCCTTCCAGACTCACATTAAGCATCTCCAAACCAAAGTTAAATCTAGAATCGGCTTCCTATTTCGCAACAAAGCCTCCTTCACTCATGCTGCCAAACATGCCCTCGAAAAACTGACTATCCTACCGATCCTTGACTTCGGCGATGTCATTTACAAAATAGCCTCCAACACTCTACTCAGCAAATTGGATGTAGTCTATCACAGTGCCATCTGTTTTGTCACCAAAGCCCCATATACTACCTTTGTTGGCAATGACACAGGTCAAACGTTTTCTGTAAGTCTTCGCAAGGTTTTCACACACTGTTGCTGGTATTTTGGCCCATTCCTCCATGCAGATCTCCTCTAGAGCAGTGATGTTTTGGGGCTGTCGCTGGGCAACACGGACTTTCAACTCACTCCAAAGACTTTCTATGGGGTTGAGATCTGGAGACTGGCTAGGCCACTCCAGGACCTTGAAATGCTTCTTACGAAGCCACTCCTTCGTTGCCCGGGCGGTGTGTTTGGGATCATTGTCATGCTGAAAGACCCAGCCACGTTTCATCTTCAATGCCCTTGCTGATGGAAGGAGGTTTTCACTCAAAATCTCACGATACATGGCCCCATTCATTATTTCCTTTACACAGATCAGTCGTCCTGGTCCCTTTGCAGAAAAACAGCCCCAAAGCATGATGTTTCCACCCCCATGCTTCACAGTAGGTATGGTGTTCTTTGGATGCAACTCAGCATTCTTTGTCCTCCAAACACGACGAGTTGAGTTTTTACCAAAATGTTCTATTTTGGTTTCATCTGACCATATGACATTCTCCCAATCCTCTTCTGGATCATCCAAATGCACTCTAGCAAACTTCAGACGGGCCTGGACATGTACTGGCTTAAGCAGGGGGACACGTCTGGCACTGCAGGATTTGAGTCCCTGGCGGCGTAGTGTGTTACTGATGGTAGGCTTTGTTACTTTGGTCCCAGCTCTCTGCAGGTCATTCACTAGGTCCCCCTGTGTGGTTCTGGGATTTTTGCTCACCGTTCTTGTGATCATTTTGACCCCACGGGGTGAGATCTTGCGTGGAGCCCCAGATCGAGGGAGATTATCAGTGGTCTTGTATGTCTTCCATTTCCTAATAATTGCTCCCACAGTTGATTTCTTCAAACCAAGCTGCTTACCTATTGCATATTCAGTCTTCCCAGCCTGGTGCAGGTCTACAATTTTGTTTCTGGTGTCCTTTGACAGCTCTTTGGTCTTGGCCATAGTGGAGTTTGGAGTGTGACTGTTTGAGGTTGTGGACAGGTGTCTTTTATACTGATAACAAGTTCAAACAGGTGCCATTAATACAGGTAACGAGTGGAGGACAGAGGAGCCTCTTAAAGAAGAAGTTACAGGTCTGTGAGAGCCAGAAATCTTGCTTGTTTGTAGGTGACCAAATACTTATTTTCCACCATAATTTGCAAGTAAATTCATTACAAATCCTACAATGTGATTTTCTGGAGAAAAAAAATTCTCAATTTGTCTGTCATAGTTGACGTGTACCTATGATGAAAATTACAGGCCTCTCTCATCTTTTTAAGTCGGAGAACTTGCACAATTGGTGGCTGACTAAATACTTCCCCCCCCCCCACTGTACAGTGCCTTCAGAAAGTATTCACACCCCTTGACTTTTTCCAGATTTTGTTGTGTTACAGCCTGGATTTAAAATGGATCAAATTGAGTTTTTTTGTCACTGGCCTAAACACAATACCACATAATGTCAAAATGAAATTATGTTTTTCGACATTTTTACAAATTTATAAAAAATGAAAAGCTGAAAAGTCTTGAGTCAATAAGTATTCAACCCTAACCCTAAAAATTAAGAAAATACAGACATTGAATATTCCTTTTAGCATGGTGAAGTTACTAATTACACTTGGATGGTGTATCAATATACCCAGTCACTACAAAGATACAGCCGTCCTTCCTAACTTAGTTGCTCGAGAGGAAGGAAACCACTCAGGGATTTCACCATGAGGCCAATGGTGACTTTAAAACAGTTACAGAGTTAAATGGCTGTGATAGGAGAAAACTGAGGATGGATCAACAACATTGTAGTTACTCCACAATACTAACCTAAACGACAGAGCGAAAAGAAGGAAGCTTTTATAAAATAAAACTGAACTGAACTGAAAACAAAGCGTTATTTTTGGGGCAAATCCGACACAACACATCACTGAGTACCATTTATATATTATTTTCAAGCATGGTGGTGGCTGCATCATGTTATGGGTATGCTTGTCATCGGTAAGGACTAGGGAGTTTTTTAGGATATAAAGAAACGGAATAGAGCTAAGCACAGGCAAAATCCAAAACCTGGTTCAGTCTACTTTCCAACAGACACTGGGAGACAAATTCACCTTTCAGCAGGACAATAACCTAAAACATAAGGCCAAATATACACTGGAGTTGCTGACCACGACGCCATTGAATGTTCCTGAGTGGCCTAGTTACATTTTTGACTTAAATCTGCTTGAAAATGTATGGCAAGACTTGAAAAACTTAAAGTTTGTATATTTAAATTACTATACAAAATTCTTGCAACCAATAGAATGTTATGTATTCAGGAATTGGTTCAGGAATTGCTGAAAAATCACAACATTTACCTAAAGCTAACTCTGTATAATAGCACTGCTGGGTGACTTGAAAAGCCATAGTCATTCGATCAATAATTTAATAATACTCTTAGTAAAAATGTTAATCTCTAATTTACAATCTGTAGAAACTATGAGAATAGAAAGGTTCAGAACTTTTGTGAAACATCACAGCACAGTTAAAAAATATATGGAAAGTAGAAATCTAAACTGGATGGTTTTTAGAGATACTGTAGATGGGAGGGGTTGAGGGTAGCTGAAGGGTGACCCAAAAAAAATCAAAATAAGAAAAAGATAACTAATGCCAAATGTACTGTGTCCGTAAAATGTATAAAGTGTGTATAAGCTGGAAATAGAAGCCTAAGTAACGTTGTCCATTAGTTTAATCCAATTAGAATAGGGGTGGAAGAAGGAAAATATATTTTAAAAAGATCAAACAAATATATGGGGGATTGGAAATGATGCAGACAATTACATTGATAGAACCCACAATCTATCTGCAATATTAAAGCTGATCTACCCCCTAAAAAATGTAAACACTTGAGTGTGGATGGCTATGAAGGATGGTGGGTGGAGGAGGGGAGGGAGAGATAAAATGAGGGAAAAGCAATGGAGACAGACAGCAGAGAGGAAGAGAGAAGTTGGAAGGAGAGAGGGAGTTTTATTTTTATCTTTTTTAACCGTTATTTAACCAGGTAAGCCAGTTGAGAACAAGTTCTCTTTTACAACTGCAACCTGGCCAAGATGAAGCAAAGCAGTGCGATAAAAACAACAACAACACAGAGTTACATATGGAATAAACAAAAACGTACAGTCAATAACACAATAGAAAAATCTATATACAGTGTGTGCAAATGTAGTAAGTTATGGAGGTAAGGCAATAAATAGGCCATAGTGCAAAATAATTACAATTTAGTATTAACACTAGAGTGATAGATGTGCAGAAGATGATGTGCAAATAGAGATACTGGGGTGCAAATGAGCAAAATAAATAACAATGTAAATAACAATATGGGGATGAGGTAGTTGGGTGGGCTAATTACAGATGGGCTGTGTACAGGTGCAGTGATCGGTAAGCTGCTCTGACAACTGATGCTTAAAGTTAATGAGGGAGAAAAGTGTCTCCAGCTTCAGAGATTTTTGTAGTTCGTTCCAGTCATTTGCAGCAGAGAACTGGAAGGAATGGCGGCCAAAGGAGGTGTTGGCTTTGGGGGTGACCAGTGAGATATACCTGCTGGAGCGCAGACTACGGGTGGGTGTTGCTATGGTGACCAATGAGCTAAGATAAGGCTGGGATTTGCCTAGCAGTGATTTATAGATGGAAGGAAGAAGAGAGAGGTTGGAAGGAGAGAGGGATATGCAGAGGAGAAAGGAAGAAGAGAGAAGAGATATAGAAATAGGGGAAGAAAGAAGATAACTGAAAAAAGAAAGTAATAGAGTTGAAAAAAGGAAGACAAGAAGGCTAGGAAGAAAACAGAATGGTCCAGAGATTGTTTGTGAGCTTGTGCCCAGTGAGCCTGAGGCAGGCAGGCAGGTGGGTTGGTGGACAATGGACACACAACCACCACTCACCTGGAACTGGAAGGTGTCTCCTTGCGTCCTGCCGGCGGTACCAAAGTGTTTGTACCACACACTGCCCTCATTCACATCCTGCTGAGTGAAGGAGGAGGTGGGGGTAGAGATTCTGTCATCGGGCGAGGGCTGCCAACCTTCCACTGGGCCGTCGGCTGGCATTGGCACCAACACCACTTCCCCTAGAGGGAGGAGAGGGAAAAAGAGAGAAGAGAGAGGGGGGAGACCCGAGAAAAGGAGAGAAGGGTTTTAAAAAGGGGGGGGAAAGGAAGGGGAGAAAAAGGGGGAAGGGGGGGGGAAGAGAGAGAAGGTAAGGGAGAGAGAGAAAGATAAGGGAGAAAAGGAGGAAGGTGAGGGGAAAGGGAGGGGTGAGGGAGAGGAGAGGGTTTAAGGGAAAAGGGGGCGGGTAAGGGAGAGGAAGGAGAAAAGGGTTTAAGGGAGGGGTTGGAAGGTGGAGGGGGGCGAGAAGGGGGCCAAGGGCGGGAGAGGAGAAAGGGGAGGGAGGAGAAGAAGGTAAGGGAGGAAAAGGGGGGAGAGAGGGGGAAGGGAAAGGGGGGAGAGGGGGAAAGGGTAAGGGGAGAGAGAAGGAAGGGAGAGAGGGAGAAGGGGGGAAAGGGGAAAAGAGAAAAGGGGTAAGGGAGGGAAAAGGGAAGGGAGAGGAAAAAGGAAAGGGAGAAGAAAGGGAGAGATGGTAAAGGGAGAAAAGAAGGGAAAGGGGAAGAGAGTGAGAAAAAGGGGGAGAGAAGGAAGGTAAGGGGGAAAAGGAGGGGGGAAAAGGTGAGGGGAGGGAGAAAAATAAGGGAGGGGAAGAAAAGGGGAAGGGGAGGGGAAGGGGGGGAAGGGAGGGGGGAAGGGAAGGGGAGAGAGAAGGAAAGGGAGAAAAAGGAGAAAAAGTAAGGGAGAAAAGGGGAAGATAAGGGGAGGGGGGAGAAAAGGGGGAAAGGGGAGAGAAAGGGAAGGAGAGAGATAAGGGGAATAAAGGGAAAGGGGGAAAAGGTGGGGGGAAAAGAGAGGGGAAGGTAAGGGAGGGAAGAAGGGGGGGAGAGGAGAAAGAAAGGGGAGAGAGGGAAGGGGAGGGAGAGAAAAAGGAAAGGGGGAAGAAGAAAAGGGGAAAGGGGGAAAGAAGGAGAGAGGTTGGGGGGAAAAGGGAGAGAGAAAAGGGTAAGGGAGAGGGGAAAAAGGGAAGGGAGGAGAGGGGAAGGGTTTGAGAGAGAGAAAGAAGAAAGGGCCCAGAGGAGAGAGAGAAGAAAAAGGGGAGGAAGTGGGGGAAAAAGAGAGGAAGGGGAAGGAGAGAAGAAGGGAAAGGGGAGAGAGAAAAAGGGTTAAGGGAAGAGAGGGGAAGGGGAAGGGAAAAGGGGAGAAAGGGGAAGGGAGAGGAGGATGGTAAGGGAGAGAGGAAAAATGGGGAAGGGAGAGAGAGAAGGTGAGAGAGGGAGAGAAGAAGGGAGAAGAAAAGGGAGGGAGGGAGAGAAAAGGGAAAAGGGAGAAAAAAGAAAGGGGGAGAGAGAAGGTAAGGGAGAGAGAAAAGGGGGTGAGGGAGAGGAAAAGGGAAGGGAGAAGAGAGGGGTAAGGGGGGAGAGAGAGGGTTTAAGGGGAGAGAGAGAAGGTGAGAGAGAAAGAAAAAGGGAGAAAAGAGAATTTTTGGGGGGAGAGAAAAAGGGTTTAAGGGGAAGGAGAGGATGGTTAAGTTTAGAGAGAGAGGGAAAGGGGGAGAGAGAAAAGGGGAAAGGTTTTAAGGGAAAAGGGGGGGAGAAGGGTAAGGGAGAGAAGAAGGAAAAAGGGTGAAGGGAGAGGGAGGGGGAAGGGAAAGAGGAAGGGAGAGAGAGAGAAAGGGAAGGGAGAGAGGAAAAAATTTTTTTAAAGGGGGGGAAGAGGAGAAGGGAGAGAAAAGGGGGGAACGGGAGAGAGAAAAGGTGGGGGAAAAGGGGAAAGGAGAAGAAGAAAAGGGTAGGGAAGGGAAAAGGGGGAAGGGGAAGAGGGGAAAAGAAAGGGAAGAGAAAAGAGAAAGGGGGGAAGGAAAAAAGAGAGAGAAAAGATAAGGGGAAGGAGGATGGAAAGGGGAGAGAGAGAAGTAAGGGAAAAGAGAGAAGAAAAGGGAGAAAGAGAAGGAGGGGGCCCGGAGAGGGGAAAAGGGTTTTAAAAGGGAAAGAGAGAGAAGGAAAGGGGAAAGAGGGGGAGAAGAAAAAAAGGGAGGGGAGAGAAAAGATAAGGGAGAGAGAGATGGTAAGGGAGAGAGAGAAGGTAAGGGAGAGAGAGAAGATAAGGGAGAGAGAGAAGGTAAGGGAGAGAGAGAAGGTAAGGGAGAGAGAGACGGTAAGGGAGAGAGAGAAGGTAAGGGAGAGGGTAATTAGATCATTAGGGGTTTGAGAGAGGTGTGGGAGGTAAGCGACTGTCAAAAAGACAAATTAGCATCATTACCAAATGAACACAGTGTGAGTAAGCAGAAACAGGAGCATGTTTGGGGGGGGGGGGGGGGGGGGGGTAAGGCTGTGTATCGTACCGTATTTGGGGCTTCCCTTGGAGCGCACTATGGTGTAGATGATCTGGTCATCGCTGGCTCCCTGATACTCTGTCCTCAGATACCTCTTCCCCAGCTGTACCATGCCTCCCTCTCTCACCCACGTGGTGGGCACCGACAGAACATGAGGAGCATGGGTAAGCTGTAAAAACACAAGATATGTAACAATTATTATTTCTTTTCAATGGCAGATATTGTTTGAAAGTACTGCAATTCAATTCAGTTATTCAGCCTGATGCCCAACCCATGGGGACTTCTGATGAATCATTTGTATAAGAGCAGGAAGTTGTCTCATCCTGCCAACCAACATGCACCGTCCTCACCAATTCAGGTGTGACAATATTAGGAAGGTGTTGCTAATGTTTTGTACACTCACTACCTTTGACCAGGGTCCATAGTCGAGGATTGGGCCATGTGGGACGAACCCAGAGGCTTAGCCCTCTTGAGGGGGAATGTCATCCATCACCGTCTCATTAAAGACTAATTACTCTCCAGCTCTCTCCATGATCCATCTCTCAGGAGCTCCTTTGTAACCCGGCTAGCACAAGGCTTGGCAAGGCTTGGCACCGGGGGGAACAGTTGGAGAGAGAAAGCGCCATGGTAATGGCAGTATTACGGGTGACTAAAACATGAGAGAGATCGACTAAGTGTACTCTGAGTCTGCTGCTGCTGCATGGGATACACAGATCTAAAAATACATTACAGGTGAAAGGAATATGGAGGATGCTACGCTTACAGCTGTCTAGTTCACATCACATCAGCAGATGAAGGAGAGGAAGAGGAGAGGAAGATAAGATAAGCGGAGAAGGACAATGCTGCTTCGCATCAGCCTTACAATGACAGCTCAATGGGCTGTCTGAAAGGTGTGTGTGTGTGTGTGTGTGTGTGTAATATTAAGCACATTGCTTCGCTTTACAACAGGCGTATAGGTTACCTGGCTGGCATGAAAATGAACCACGGGAAAAGCGTCTTCCATTCGCTATTTTTAAGTGCATAAATGACATGTATTTATTTTCCCCATGCCCCTGTTTCGAGACAGGTCATGATACATGATAATGGTCCATTCTAAATCAAAACTAATATCACACATATATTATTTAGTATATGTAAAGACAACATTAAATCAAGAATAGTCAGACGGTTGACAATATTAGCCTATCACTTGTGAATGATGTATTATCACTTGTGAATGATGCCCAGCGTGTGCAGTAAGGCAAGAAACAGAGCATGCCTTTTTCGCACACCTCATGTAGCCTAGCCCATAGGCATATATGTTTTGATAAGGTTTGTATCACAACTAAAGTGGCCAAATAACTTCGTAAAAATGAAGCACATTAATTAGCTTTACAACCGGTGTAGAGCCTAACTGGCATACACTACCGTTCAAAAGTTTAGGGTCACTCAGAAATATCCTTGTTTTGGAAAGAAAAGCAATTTTGTTGTCCATTAAAGTATAATCAAATTGATCAGAAATACAGTGTAGACATTGTTAATGTTGTAAATGGCTGTTGAAGCTGGAAACGGCTGATTTTTTTATGGAATATCTACATAGGCGTACAGAGGCCCATTATCAGCAACCATCAGTCCTGTGTTCCAATGGCACGTTGTGTTTGCTAATCCAAGTTTATCATTTTAAAAGGCTAATTGATCATTAGAAAACCCTTTTGCGATTATGTTAGCACAGCTGAAAACTGTTGTGCTGATTAAAGAAGCAATACAACTGGCCTTCTTGAGACTAGTTGAGTATCTGGAGCATCAGCAATTGTTGGTTCGATTACAGGCTCAAAATGGCCAGAAACAAATAACTTTCTTCTGAAACTCGACAGTCTATTCTTGGTCTGAGAAATTAAGGCTATTCCATGCGAGAAATTGCCAAGAAACTGAAGATCTCGTACAACGCTGTGTACTACTCCCTTCACAGAACAGCACAAACTGGCTCTAACCAGAATAGAAAGAGGAGTGGGAGGCCCTGGTGCACAACTGAGCAAGAGGACAAATACATTAGAGTGTCTAGTTTGAGAAACAGACGCCTCACAGGTCCTCAACTGGCAGCTTCATTAAATAGTACCCACAAAACACCAGTCTCAACGTCAACAGTGAAGAGGTGACTCCGGGATGCTGACCAGAGTTGCAAAGAAAAAGCCATATCTCAGGCTGCCCATCTTTATCTTTTATTTTTGTTGGCCAGTCTAAGATATTGCTTTTTCTTTGCACTCTGCCTAGAAGGTCAGCATCCCGGAGTCGCCTCTTCACTGTTGACGTCCTCTTGCTCAGCTGTGCACCGGGGCCTCCCACTCCTCTTTCTATTCTGGTTAGAGCCAGTTTGTGCTGTTCTGTGAAGGGAGTAGTACACAGCGTTGTACGAGATCTTCAGTTTCTTGGCAATTTCTCGCATGGAATAGCCTTCATTTCTCAGAACAAGACTAGACTGATGAGTTTCAGAAGAAAGTTATTTGTTTCTGGCCATTTTGAGCCTTTAATCGAACCCACAATTGCTGATGCTCCAGATACTCAACTAGTCTCAAGAAGGCCAGTTGTATTGCTTCTTTAATCAGCACAACAGTTTTCAGCTGTGCTAACAAAATTGCAAAAGGGTTTTCTAATGATCAATTGGCCTCTTAAAATGATAAACTTGGATTAGCAAACACAACGTGCCATTGGAACACAGGACTGATGGTTGCTGATAATGGGCCTCTGTACACCTATGTAGATATTCCATTAAAAATCAGCAGTTTCCAGCTACAATAGCCATTTACAACATTAACAATGTCTACACTGTATTTCTGATCAATTTGATGTTATTTTAATGGACACATTTTTTTATTTTCTTTTGAAAACAAGGACATTTCTAAGTGACCCCAAACTTTTGAATGATAGTGAATATAGGAGGCGTGTGAGTTTCAAGTTTGGGGAAGATAATTTTCACCATAAAAATGCACCTTTATAATAAAGCATTACATGCATAATAGCATTTGTGGTCACTTTTGAGAACAGTGTTTTCCCGCTAATTGATTGCATTTTGGAACATTCACACTTATAGCCTACTGCCATGTGCGCATTGCTGGGCTTATAATGAGACAAAAAAGCCTAATAGCTAATAATATTTTAACCTAAACGTTCTGATCTGTTGCATCAGCCTCATTGCTTTTAAAAGGTTTTTTGATGCGAGTGGTTGTATTAATTTGGGATCTATCGCATCCCACAATTGTCCCAGAGTATGTTTGGAATATTTGGAGATGGTTTGGGGTTGCTTGCTGCCTCAGGACCTGGACAACTTGCCTTAAAAGAACGAAACCATGAATTCTGCTCTGTTTCAGAGAATTCTACAGGAGAATGTCAGACCATCCGTCTGTGAGCTGAAGCTGAAGCGCAGCTGGGTCATGCAGCAAGACAATGATCCAAAACACACAATCAAGTCTACATGAAAATGGCTAAAAAACAACACATTTGAAGTTTTGGAATGGCCTAGTCAAAGTCCAGTTTGAGATGTTGTGGCAGGACTTGAAATGAGCAGTTCATGCTTGAAAACCCACAAATGTCGCTGAGTCGTTTTCAAACAGGGGCATTGGGTGTTGCATAACTTTGTTTACGAAATAAATAAAATAAGTATGTAATTGTTGTGTTATTTCTTCACTCAGGTTCCCTTGATCTAATATTAGGTTTTGGTTGAAGATCTGATAACATTCAGTATCAAAAGTAGAGAAAATCAGAAATGGAACAAATACTTTCTCATGGTACTGTAGTATTTGACCTGACAGTCGGGCAAAAAACATACAATCCCTCTCTCCCTCCTTCCTTCCTACCTTCTGAGTAATGGTGACCTGCAGTAGAATGTTCTGGTAGCTGTGTCCATCGTTGACCTGTAACAGCATCCTGTCCCGTCGCCCCGTCGACCCGTCATGGACATACTGCACCTGTTCCCGTGACAACTCCTCCATCTTGAACTGGCTCAGCGCCCGGTCGCCGTGGAGACGGGTCAGGCGGCCATGTTGGGGCGGGTCCAGAACCATGACCAGGACGTCCTTTGAGGAAGAGACACACACAGGGGGATGTTTAGATACACACACACTTTCAGACACAGACACACACACACACACACACACACACTCACACTCACACACACACACAAACAGACAGACACGCACACACACACACACACACACACATACATACGGACACACAAATGCAAGCACACACACAAACCTGAGGGTTGTCTGGGTCGTCGATCTGAAGCACGGCCTTGGAGATGACCGCCGTCTCCCCTCCGTCCACCAGCAAAGGATTGTGGGTAAGAATCTGCGGGGGCTGTGTGACAGAAGATGGAAGCAGAGTTACAATTCACTGATTCAGACTTGTTACTCATTGTGTTTTTTTTTAGATAACAAATAAATGACACAGGAGTAAAACACATTTCTGGACTTGATAGTTAAAACAGAAGAGGGGCTGAACTAAAGAAATAAACAATTTAAACAGAATTAGTTAGAGAAGAGGTCAACACTGTCTCTGTCTGATAAGGAATTGGAATGGCAGAACACCACTAGCGACAGAATTGGCCCGGACTCTAAAACAAGGGCCAACATTTCAACACTATAGCACAGACGGTGAAACCCGAGGGATGGCTGAACTATCTCAGAGAGGCCCCTACTGTTATGAGAATACATTCTGCTGATCACTATCTGCCTGACATTCAAAGAAGGGTGTACTTGGAATTGCTGCGATGTGTGGTCGTTTTCTAATAGTAAACTTAGTTGATTGCACTGACTGTAAATCACACTGGATTAGTGTCTGCTAAATTACTCAAATGTAAAAGTAAATATTTCCACAGTGGTGAAACATGGTCTATTATCTGTCAGCTGTCAGCCTGGGATGTTGATATAACATAACATGAGGTTAAGCCATGATTCCCTACTTAGGCATAGGCTACCTGAACTGTTACACAATGGCAACAGCTCAAAGCGGACTATTTACTTTTACATTTGAGTAATTTTACAGTGTGTTTAAGTAGTGATCTCTCTCTCCTATACTCATTTAGTGAGTGAGTGTCAGAGCGGAAGTCCACCTACGAGGGGGTGGAGTTACATGACCCTTTTCTCACAGTGCTCTATCTATGTGTCAGCTACAGTCAGCTACATATACAATAAGACACTAACTACAACAGCCAGTCACTCATTTAAATTGGCCTCTGCCAAACTGCCAAACATTTGTTAGGTGTGAATTAATCCCATTTCCAGACACAGCTGGTGGACCAACGCGACAAACTTGGCCTTCGTTAGCGAATACAGAAAAACCAGGAGAAACTCACGACGCATAGGCATTGGTTTAATCGGCTTAATCTACCGACCAAACATATCCCGCAGCACATTCCCCGTAACCCTCCATCGTACGCAGCACACAACAAGAGCAGATCCATGCCTCACAGTCCTGTGACTCTCTACATGTAAAGGCCCAGTGCAGTCAAAAACATGATTTTCCTGTTTTATATATATTTCCACACTATGAGGTTGGAATAATACTGTGAAATTGTGAAAATGATGATAATGCTATTTTTGTGTAAGAGCTGTTTGAAAAGACCTCTTGAAATTTCAGCCTGTTTTGGTGGGATGAAGTTTAGGATTGCATAATCTCAGTTAAGCCGGGAATGATTAAGTTCGATTAAGTTCTGGGTCCATACGTGTTAAGAGAAGAGATAGAATGAGGATCGGAACCAGAACAAAGAGCTCCACCTCTTTGCAAGTTAGGGGCAAGTCTATGGGCCAAATGTCCCCTCCTCTTCTGAAATTCGAAAGATGTCAATACCTGCAAAATCGTGATTGGTCCAAAGCACCGGAAATAATGCTGCTGGCTATCTCAAACACATCTCTTTGTATCGTGACAGATCTACGGTACCATTATGTTTACGTAGTCTGTCCACAACAGATTATGGCCTGCCTGGTGACATCACCAGGCCGTATAAGTTAATAGACCAATAACAAAGAGAGTTTCAAACCTCTCTGCCAATAATAGTTTGTTTTCCGGTTACAGATCCCTCCCATTAGGCTCGTCCAATTAGGCCCCTCACCCAGACCACTCCCAGACAGCCCTAGCAAAACTACTGCTTGGGAAATTGTTCTTTGCTAAAAGGCGTATTGTTCTTTGCTAAGGTACTGAATTGTTATCTGGAATTTATTTGATATTGAGATAAAAACAGCTGCTTTGGACCTTTAACTGAAGACAAATACTTTACTCAGTAAGGTCACTCCCATATACTTCTGTGGTCACTCCCATATACTTCTGTGGTCACTCCCATATACTTCTGTGGTCACTCCCATATACTTCTGTGGTCACTCCCATATACTTCTGTGGTCACTCCCATATACTTCTGTGGTCACTCCCATATACTTCTGTGGTCACTCCCATATACTTCTGTGGTCACTCCCATATACTTCTGTGGTCACTCCCATATACTTCTGTGGTCACTCCCATATACTTGTCACGGTTTCGGCCGAGGCTGCCTCTCTCCCTTGTTCGGGCAGGCTTCGGCGTTCGTCGTCTCCGGAATTCTAGCTGCCACCGATTGATGTTTCATGTTCGTTTGCTTTTGTCTGTTTGTTTCTACACCTGTTTCTGTTTTGTAGTAATTAGTGTCCTATAAGTTTCTCGTTGTGTTTGTCTTGTGTTGTGTGTGATTGTTACCGTCAGTCTGTGTATTGCTCGGTTGAGCGTTATTTTTCTCCACTGTTTGCTGGAGCGTTCGTTGCACTTGTGTGTGCACTTATTTTCATCCTGACGCACCTGTTTGTGCGCATTGTCTTTTCGCCTTCGTGCGTATTTTGCTGTCAGGCTTATTTTGTCCTGTTGCCTGTGTTTAGGCAGGAATACAGCTTTTTGGAATTCAGTCTGCTTCCTGCGTTTGATTCCTACACCACACCTACAACACGATCTGACAGAATCACACACCATACAGTATGGAATCAGCAGGAGCCGAAGCAGCACATTCAAGACTGGAAACCCAGGTTCGGGAACAGCAAGAGCAGCTCCTGCAGATGGGGGCCGCCCTGCAGGAGGTGATGACCACCCTCCGAGGCTGGGGTCCGCCTCCACCGCCAGCCGCCCTGCCAGCACCATCGGCCAGCCCACCCAGTCCAGCGCCGGAACCTCGCGGAGTCCGACTATCTCTCCCGAGGTCCTACGACGGGACCGCAGCTGGGTGTCAGGGATTCCTGCTCCAGGTAGAGCTGTACCTGGCCACAGTCCATCCGGCACCTTCAGGGCATGAGAGCGTGTCCGCCCTGATCTCCTGCCTGGCCGGTAAAGCGTTGGAGTGGGCCAACTCGGAGTGGAGGAAGATCGACGCCACGACTATTACATACACCGAGTTCTCCCGCCGCTTTAGGGCGGTGTTCGACCATCCCCCGGAGGGGAAAGCGGCGGGGGAGCGTCTGGTCTTCCTCAGGCAGGGGAGGAGGAGTGCCCAGGAATTCGCACTCGAATTCCGTACTCTAGCGGCAGATGCAGGGTGGAATGAGCGGGCCCTCATCGATCTCTACCGATGTAGCCTCAGAGAGGACGTCCGTCGGGAGCTGGCCTGTCGGGACGCCAGTCTCACTTTCGACCAGCTGGTCGACATGTCAATTAGGTTAGATAACCTATTGGCTACCCGCGGACGTCCTGAGGGGGGTCCGTCCATACCATCCTCCAGCGCATCCGAGCCGTGTCCTATGGAGCTCGGGGGCGCTGGCGCTAGAGATAGGAGGAGTCGACAGAGTAGGGGGTCCATCCACTGCACCAACTGTGGTCGGGGAGGACACACCGCGGCTAGGTGCTGGGGATGGCCTCCTCGGGGAGATGACGACAGGTCCCGCACTGGGGATTCCCTCCAGGTGAGTAGGCGCCCCACTCACCCAGAGCTCACTGTTGGCCATTTTTGTATGCCTGTGTGTTTCCCGCAGGTGGCACCTCATTCCCAGTATAAGGCGCTGGTAGATTCAGGCGCGGCTGGGAATTTCATTGATAAGAAGTTTTGTTTAGAGTTAGGGTTTCCCCTTCTCCCTGTGGAAGTTCCTTTTCCCGTTCACGCCCTAGATAGTCGTCCGTTGGGTACGGGCTTAATCAGGGAGGTCACAGCGCCACTTAGGATGTGTGCGCAGGGGAGTCATCAGGAGATAATTCAACTGTTTCTGATTGACTCTCCTGCGTATCCGGTGGTGCTGGGCATGCCCTGGTTAAGTACCCATAACCCCGTTATTTCGTGGCAGGAGAGGGCTCTGATGGAGTGGTCTGCTCAGTGTGTGGGTAGATGTTTGGGCGTTTCCTTAGGGGCTACCTCGGTGGAAAGTCCAAACCAGGTGCCCGCATTGCACATTCCACCTGAGTATGGGGATCTGGCTATCGCGTTTAGTAAGGCGAGGGCGACGCGGTTGCCACCCCATAGGCAGGGGGATTGTGCGATAGACCTTCAGGCAGGAGCTGCGCTCCCACGGAGTCATGTGTATCCTCTGTCTCAGGAGGAGAAGAAAGCTATGGAGGTTTACATAGACGAATCACTGAGACAAGGATACATACGGCCGTCCACTTCCCCCGCGTCCTCGAGTTTCTTTTTCGTGAAGAAGAAGGATGGGGGGTTGCGTCCGTGCATCGATTACCGTGGTCTCAATCAGATTACGGTGAAGTATAGTTATCCACTCCCGCTGATTGCGACCATGACTGAGTCGTTGCATGGGGCGCGTTTTCTTCACGAAATTAGATCTCAGGAGCGCGTACAACTTGGTGCGCATCAGGAAGGATGATGAATGGAAAACAGCCTTTAGTACCACCTCGGGCCATTACGAGTATCTAGTCATGCCATACGGGTTGATGAATGCTCCGTCAGTTTTCCAATCCTTCGTGGATGAGATTTTCAGGGACATGCAGGGACAGGGAGTCGTGGTGTACATAGATGACATTCTCGTGTACTCACCTACCCGTGTCGAGCATGTGGCCCTGGTGCGCAGGGTGTTGCGGAGGCTGGTGGAGCACGACCTGTATGTGAAGGCAGAGAAGTGTCTGTTTTTCCAGGAGTCGATTTCCTTTTTGGGGTATCAGTTGTCTGCGTCAGGGGTGAAGATGGAGGTAGAACCGAGTGTCAGCCGTGCGTAATTGGCAAACACCAACCACTGTGAAAGAGGTGCAGCAGTTTTTGGGGTTTGCGAATTACTACCGGAGGTTTATCCGGGGTTTTGGGCAAGTGGCAGCTCCCATCACGTCTCTCTAAAGGGGGGCCCGGTGCGTCTGCAGTGGTCAGTCGAGGCGGACAGGGCGTTTGAGAAGCTGAAGGACCTGTTCACCTCGGCTCCGGTGCTGGCGCATCCGGATCCCTCTTTACCATTTCAGGTAGAGGTGGACGCGTCTGAAGCCGGTATTGGCGCCGTGCTGTCCCAACGGTCAGGCGCGCCACCTAAACTCCGCCCCTGTGCCTTCTATTCCAAGAAGCTCAGCCCGGCGGAGCGAAATTATGACGTAGGGGACAGGGAGCTGTTAGCTGTGGTACAAGCCCTTAAGGTGTGGAGGCACTGGCTTGAGGGGGCTCAACACCCTTTCCTCATTTTGACGGACCACCGTAACCTGGAGTACATCCGGGCAGCGAGGAGGCTGAACCCTCGACAGGCTAGATGGAGTATGTTTTTGACCCGTTTCTCTTTTAAGATCACCTACATCCCTGGGTCACAAAACGGTAAGGCAGATGCGCTGTCTCGGCGGTATGACGGGGAGGAGAGGTCCGTGGAGCCCACTCCCATACTGCCGGAGTCGTGTCTAGTGGCACCGGTGGTGTGGGAGCTCGATTCTGAGCTCGAGCGGGCATTACGCACCGACCCTAGTCCACCACAATGCCCGGAGGGTCGGAAGTATGTTCCGCTCGAGTGTCGGGATCGATTGATCTATTGGGCTCACACGTCACCCTCCTCTGGACATCCGGGTATCGGCCGGACAGTGCACTGTCTTAGTGCCAAATATTGGTGGCCCACGTTGGCCAGGGATGTGAGGGTTTATGTTTCCTCCTGCTCGGTGTGCGCCCAGTGTAAGGCGCCTAGACATCTGCCTAGGGGTAAGTTACTGCCCCTGCCCGTTCCACAACGACCATGGTCCCACCTCTCGGTGGATTTTATAACTGACCTTCCCCTCTCTCAAGGGAATACTACACTCCTGGTCGTTGTGGACCGGTTCTCTAAGGCCTGTCGTTTGCTCCCCATGCCGGGTCTTCCTACTGCCCTACAGACCCGCCGAAGCACTATTCACTCATGTGTTCCGGCACTACGGGGTGCCCGAGGACATTGTGGCTGACCGGGGTCCCCAATTCACCTCCAGAGTCTGGAGAGCTTTTATGGAGCGGTTGGGGGTCTCGGTGAGTCTCACCTCGGGTTACCACCCGGAGAGTAATGGGCAGGTGGAACGCGTAAACCAGGATGTGGGCAGGTTTCTCAGAACATACTGCCGGGACCGGCCGGAGGAGTGGGCGAGATATGTGCCCTGGGCTGAGATGGCACAGAACTCTCTCCGCCACTCCTCCACCCAACTAACCCCTTTTCAGTGTGTTTTAGGGTACCAGCCGGTTCTGGCACCATGGCATGAGAGCCAGATCGAGGCCCCCGCTGTGGATGAGTGGGTGCGGCGCTCGGAGGAGACGTGGAACGCTGCACACGTCCATCTGCAGCGTGCCATACGTCGACAGAAGACGAGCGCCGACCTACAACCGCAGTGAGGGGCCTGTGTACGCACCTGGAGATCGAGTCTGGCTCTCTGCCAGAAACCTGCCCCTCCGCCTGCCCTGTCGGAAACTGGGTCGGCGGTTTGTAGGGCCATTTAAAGTCCTGAGAAGGTTGAACGAGGTTTGTTATAGATTACAGTTGCCAGTGGAGTATAAATGTATTAACCCCTCGTTCCATGTGTCCCTTCTCAGGCCGGTGGTAGCAGGCCCACTCCAAGAACATGAGATCTTGGAGACCCCCCCGCCCCCGTTGGACATCGAGGGGGTACCGGCGTACACCGTGAGATCCATCTTGGATTCTAGACGTCGGAGAGGGGGTCTTCAGTATCTAGTGGAGTGGGAGGGGTACGGTCCGGAGGAGCGGTGCTGGGTGCCGAGGAGAGACATCTTGGATCCGTCGCTCCTGACGGAATTCCATCGGGGGTATCCGACGCGCCCTGCGCCGCGGCCTCCGGGTCGTCCCCAAGGCCGGAGTCGGCGCACGTCTGGAGCCGCGCGTCAAGGGGGGGGTACTGTCACGGTTTCGGCCGAGGCTGCCTCTCTCCCTTGTTCGGGCAGGCTTCGGCGTTCGTCGTCTCCGGAATTCTAGCTGCCACCGATTGATGTTTCATGTTCGTTTGCTTTTGTCTGTTTGTTTCTACACCTGTTTCTGTTTTGTAGTAATTAGTGTCCTATAAGTTTCTCGTTGTGTTTGTCTTGTGTTGTGTGTGATTGTTACCGTCAGTCTGTGTATTGCTCGGTTGAGCGTTATTTTTCTCCACTGTTTGCTGGAGCGTTCGTTGCACTTGTGTGTGCACTTATTTTCATCCTGACGCACCTGTTTGTGCGCATTGTCTTTTCGCCTTCGTGCGTATTTTGCTGTCAGGCTTATTTTGTCCTGTTGCCTGTGTTTAGGCAGGAATACAGCTTTTTGGAATTCAGTCTGCTTCCTGCGTTTGATTCCTACACCACACCTACAACACGATCTGACAATACTTCTGTGGTCACTCCCATATACTTCTGTGGTCACTCCCATATACTTCTGTGGTCACTCCCATATACTTCTGTGGTCACTCCCATGTACTTCTGTGGTCACTCCCACTAAGGCCAAATTTCAATCGTTAATGTACCAGCCTTTTATGTGCTGTGTGCAATAGCCTGATATATACTGTGTACAATATCCTGTTATATACTGTGTACAATAGCCTGATATATACTGTGTACAATAGCCTGATATATACTGTGTACAATAGCCTGGTATATACTGTGTACAATAGCCTGGGGACGAGGTAAGGAGTGAATTCAGCACAGAGGGAGTAGAGATGGTTGATTTATCGGTCTCCCCTTCAGAGGTGTACAGGGCTGTTCAGTTCCAGCTGCTATACCTAAGCATGACAGACCTGGACTTCTCTGGGGCTAAGTCCCAAAGGTCACACTAATCCCTTTGCAGTGCACTACTTTTGACCCTATGGGACTATATAGGGAAATAGGGTGACATTTGTGACGCAGCCCCAGAGAAGAGAGGGAAGTCTGTAATGTCTCGCCCCACACACGCACACAAACACACACACACACACACGCACGCACGCACACACACACACACACACAAACACACACACACACGCACGCACGCACACATACACACAAACACACACACGCACACAAACACACACACGCACGCACACACACACACACACGCACACGCACACAAACACACACACCTTGTTGTGGCTGGAGAGTTGTCCCTAGCTACAGAGCTCGGAGGGAAACAGCCCCATTGGACACGGCTGGTAGCAAACACACTATGGGTGCCTGCTACTGCATGCCACAACATGCTAGCATGCTAAGCGCTAAGCTAGAACCCCACAATCATTTAGAAATCCCCTCTGAAACACGCAAGGAGGGCTAGGCTAACGTTCCTCTGTGTTTATGAAAGAGGCAAGGCAGGGTTGCTCTGTGTTTATGAACGAGGCAAGGCAGGGTTGCTCTGTGTTTATGAACGAGGCAGGGCAGGGTTGCTCTCTGTTTATGAACGAGGCAGGGCAGGGTTGCTGTGTTTATGAACGAGGCAGGGCAGGGTTGCTCTGTGTTTATGAATGAGGCAAGGCAGGGTTGCTCTCTGTTTATGAACGAGGCAGGGCAGGGTTCATATTTGGGCGAACAATGCACTTACTGTAATACTGCAACTTCTATCACAGCAAACAACGCACTTACTGTAATACTGCAACTTCTATCACAGCAAACAGCGCACTTACTGTAATACTGCAACTTCTATCACAGTAAACAATACACTTACTGTAATACTGCAACTTCTATCACAGTAAACAATACACCTACTGTAATACTGCAACTTCTATCACTGTAAACAATACACCTACTGTAATACTGCAACTTCTATCACAGCAAACAAAGCACTTACTGTAATACTGCAACTTCTATCACAGTAAACAATACACCTACTGTAAAACTGCAACTTCTATCACAGCAAACAACGCACTTACTGTAATACTGCAACTTCTATCACAGTAAACAAAGCACTAATTGTAGGTGTAAATACAGTCGTTGTGTGTTGTACATTGTACCTGCATGGACACTGCCTGGACCAGAATGGTCTCTGGTTGGGAAAAGAGTTGGGGGTCAGCCACACGCAGGGTGAACTGTCCACTCCTAGAACAATACAACAACACAAACATACACTCATTAGAGAGAGAGAGAGAAGAGAGAGAGAGAGAGAGAGAGAGAGAGAGAGAGAGAGAGAGAGAGAGAGAGAGAGAGATAGATAGAGAGAGAGAGAGAGAGAGAGAGAAAGGGATGAGGGGACTATCTCTACGGATAGAGATCGATACCGTCTCGAGGCTCTATAGTATAGACAGATACGATCCCTTCTCTCCCTCGTGCTCTTCTCTCTCGCTCTCTCCTCTCGATGAGCTCGTCTAGAATATTGCTACCACTTTACTTCTGAGTGTATGTTTACTGTTAATATTTATTGTTATTTTCACTTTTGTTTACTATCTACTTCACTTGCTTTGGCAATGTTAACACACACGTTTCCCATGCCATAAAGCCCTTAAATTGAATTGAATTGGGGGAGGAGAGAGAGAGAGAGCAGAGAGAGAGAGAGAGAGAGAGAGAGAGAGAGAGAGAGAGAGAGAGAGAGAGAGAGAAATGTAGAGGGAGACAGACAGAGAGAGAAAGAGAGAGCGAGAGAGAGAGAGAGAGAGAAAGCGAGAGAGGGCGAGAGAGAGAGTGAGAGAGAGAGTGAGAGAGAGAGAGAGAGAGAGAGAGAAAGAAAGAAATCAAGAGAAAAACATATTTTTAGATCGACATCGAGAGACATTTCTTTCTTTCTCAGTATACTCACTTGGCCTGGTCCTTGTCGTGAGTGAAGCGGACCTGTCTGCTCTGTAGCTGTGCCCAGGAGAAGGTGTCGTCTCGGGCCATCTCTATCTCCCTGCCCCCCTCTAGGACGACCACACGGCCTGTAGCAGGGGGCTGCAGCAGCTGGAAGACCAAGCTCTCTGGGGGGCTGGCAGGTCAACATCAAATCAAACTTCATTTAAAGTGCATTTCATTTGATAAATATCACAAATCACACTTTTAGCAGAGAGAAGGGTGGGGTTAATTAATTCATGAATGCATTCGTCCATTAATAACTTCATTAATTGAGTCTCCCCACCTGTCTTTGTCCTGGGCAGAGAGTATGGTGGTGTCCAGGTGTTTAGTGCCCCCGATGGGTACCAGCAGAGAGCCACCGATACGCAGGGTTGGGGACTGGCTGTTAGCTGGAGGAGGAGGAGGGGAGGGAGGGAGGGAGGTGGGGGGGGAGTCGGGAGGAGGGAGGGAGGGGGGAGGGAGGGATGGAGGGAGGGGGGGAGGGATGGGGGGTTTTTCTTTGTCTGTCTTTCCTCTTTCTTTTTCTTTCTTTTTCTTTTTTTTCTTTTACTGTTTTTTTTCTTTCTTTCTTCTCCTCCTGTCTCCTCCTCTTTCTTTTTTCCTCTCTCTTTCTTTTCTCCCTCTTTCCTTTCCTCCCTTCTCTCCTTCCTCCTCTCGCCTTCTCTCGCCTCTCTCCTTTCCTGAGTGTCCCCTACGTTACAAGCTTCCTAATGTTTTTTGTCTCTCTCTACTGGTGTCCCCCAGGGCTAGGTACTAGGTCCTCTTTAATGTTTCACTACTGGTGTCCCCCAGGGCTAGGTACTAGGTCCTCTCCTGTTCTCTCTACTGGTGTCCCCCAGGGCTCAGTACTAGGTCCTCTCCTGTTCTGTCTACTGGTGTCCCCCAGGGTTCAGTACTAGGTCCTCTCCTGTTCTCTCTACTGGTGTCCCCCAGGGTTCAGTACTAGGTCCTCTCCTGTTCTGTCTACTGGTGTCCCCCAGGGTTCAGTACTAGGTCCTCTCCTGTTCTCTCTACTGGTGTCCCCCAGGGTTCAGTACTAGGTCCTCTCCTGTTCTCTCTACTGGTGTCCCCCAGGGTTCAGTACTAGGTCCTCTCCTGTTCTCTCTACTGGTGTCCCCCAGGGTTCAGTACTAGGTCCTCTCCTGTTCTCTCTACTGGTGTCCCCCAGGGCTTGGTACTAGTTCCTCTCTTGTTTTCTCTGTACAACCAAGTCAATTGGTTCTGTCATTACTGTACTGAAAAAGAGCTGAAAACTTACCATGGCAAGTCCTGGTCTTCTTGTCGGCGTAGAAACCATGTCCACAGTCCGGAGTACAGTATCCGTCTCTTAGGTAGGTGTTTTGACTGCACACGGTGCAGCGACCCATCCCCTCACACTCTACACAGTCAGCTGAGCATGCTGGGTAACAGGAAGAGAGGAAACAACACTTAAGAAGCTCAATTATGCCTCAATATTGTCTGTATGTAACTGGGCCGAAACGCGGTAGAAAAAACAATTTGTTCTGAATGAAGAGTCTTATGTGTATCTTTTTACTTATGTTTTATATAATTATGACATCACATTTTATGTATGTTGTTTGAATAAACATAAACAGAGCTGCATAGAGTGAATGAATACATAGTAAAAAAACGACAGAGTAAATTTAACTCTAATTGAAGAAAATGTCACTCTGCCACAGATAACATTCGGTCCCATTCTAAAAAGAGTAAAACGTACTCTGGCAAGATAGTAATTTTTTCGGAGTTGTATATGCTCCATTTAGTGTTGATATTTAATTCTGCAACATTGCGTTTCATTCTGTACAGCATTAATTGAAAATAACTCTGTTAATTTTACTTTTTTAAACTCTCTGCAGTGTTGTTCAGTATTCAACTCTCTTTGATTTACTGTGTAGTCTTACATGTGCATTGTTTCAGAGAGGAGTCCAGGAATAATTTCCTTCCACACTCCAACACACAGTGGCCCTGCAGGGTGGAATAAGGAGTCTGGCATCGCCCACACTGGCCTGGCCCGTGGCATATTTCACAGTGTTCATCACAACCTGGCGCACAGAGAAAGCGAGAGAGAGAGAGAGAGAGCGAGAGAGCGAGAGAGAGAGAGAAAGAGAGCGAGAGAGAGAGATAAAGAGAGCGAGAGAGAAAGAGAGACAGAGAGAGAGAGAGAGAGAGAGAGAGAGATAGGGACAAACATTGACAAGGAGAGAGAAAGAGAGAGAGAGAGAGAGAGAGAGAGAAGATAGAGAAGGGAACATAGACTGACAGAGAGAGAGAGATAGAAGAGAGAGAGAAGACGAGAGATAGAGAGAGCAGAGAGGAGATGAGATAGAGAGAGAGAGAGGCGGGGGGGAACATAGACATGACCAGAGAGACGAGGGAGATGAGAGAGAGAGAGAGAGATGAGAGAGGAGAGAGAGAGAGAGAGAGAGAGAGAGAGAGAGAGGACAGAGACATTGACAGAGCGAGAGAGGGGACAGAGAGGACAGAAACATTGACAGAGCGAGAGAGGGGACAGAGACATTGAGAGTGAACATAACACAAGTTAAAAGGTATAACTGACTTAAAACAGACAACAACACTGAAAGATTTAATAAGTGAAATGATCATTCTATTCAGGCACGTACTGAGGCATCTCTCTCCATATTGATAGGACCCTGGGGAGCAGCCCTGGGTGCAGAGTCCGTCCTGCAGAACGTGTCCCTCCATACACTGTAGACAATCGGTACGCAGAGGACCCTT